TATGTATGTATGTATAATTTTAATTATTCATGAATATTAGTTTCTTAAAAATAATAATTTTTTCGATATACGATCAAGCATGAAAAAAACAAAGGTTTTTTTCCGCTTATTTTAAATATTTTTCAAATTGTATAGTTATCGCATAAACGTAATAAATAATTATTATAATTACAAAAATTTCATATAATACATAATACACAAAATTATTTAAATATATAAGAAGCGATGTTTGTAATCATTTTACAAACAATTATTGATAATCGAAATTAAGTTTGTGCATTCAAATTTTTCTTAAAACTTTTTAAAGATATAGAAATAATTTTTTAAAAAATCAGATTAATAAATGTGTTAATAAATAAAAAGAATGAAAAGATTAAATCGTACCAGAATATCGACCGGTGTGCGCAACGCATATTCCGTTTACGCGGATAAGGTAATTATTAAAGAGCTACCCGTGATTAAGCTCGCTTCCCTAGAAATATTATCTTCGACCTCAACCATGTTCTCTAATTTGCATCCGTCATCTCTAACAAACACGATTTGCTCGTCTTTCAGACGTTGACAAATAAATGAAGTTTTTGATATAGATACAGCCATTAGTATACGTTATTATACTTTATGATCAATCGAAAATTAAAATATGTCAAATAGCATTATTATAATGATTAAGAAAAAAATGCAAAATAATTTAACTTAAATAATAATAAATCTGAAAAATAAAAGAGCTTATATTATAATTAATTATAGAAACGATTGAATAATGTTTATAATTATATAATAATTATATAACTATTTATTAAAAGATAAATTAGTTATAAATTGCAATCATGTTGACAGAAAGAATCAATTCTTTAATTAAATATATAATATATTATTTTTTATATCAAAAATTGCACTTATGTACAAAGGCATGTATCAGTTTTATATTTACATTATTTTTTTTATAACTGTATAATATACATTTATAAAATATTATTTAGCACTTTTAAACCATTTTATCTGGCTTTCCGCAAAATAATTTATCTGACTTTTCGTGGGTGACTGCTTAATAGCCGTCAGTTTTGTGCTGTCGATATATCGACAAAATTCACCATGTTATTACACAGTTTCCGTTAATCGTTAACGGAGAACCGTCATTTATTTTTCACAAATAAAAATAGGACGGTATTAAAATCCATTGATCATGACATGTCATAGTTATACTCAAATTGTCAATAAAATAAAATATTTTTACATGCTGCATATAAGTTGTATAATGTATATGCATACACACTACATCAAATTATTCAAAATTTCTAACATAAGTATAAAATCTAAGTATTAAAATTATATTTTAATTATAAAAGTTTGTTTATATGTATGCACAGTTTAACTCTAATAATATTACATTGTTTTAACTTTAAATAATTTAAATTTAAATTCTAATGTTAAATAAATCACAACATAATTTTATTATGTACATGATTATGAATTGTATAATGAAATTATATATTGAAATTTTCACTATATTTACTATTTCAGTTATTGCCAAATAATTAAAAGATTAGAACTATACTGTATACATATACATATATACAGAATAATTTGAACTATGTTATTAAAAGTTTTTGACACATGAACGACACATAAATTGCGGTCATTTGAAACTAGAAAAGCTGTAATATAACTTGGCTACGAGCTATGAGCTTGCAAATACCACATTGAAACTTCCTCTCAGAATTCATTTCTTTCTTGTGACGCTATTGGAGTAGTTGCATATGGAAAGTTGTTGGTAGATAATCGCAATTAAGCTACAAAACGTGACTATATCCGTTCGAAACTCATATAATTATTAACATAACTTCGTTATGAATTAATAAATCAAACATTGAATTTACCAGTCGAAACGTCCGATTTGAATAATTAAGGACATGAGAAAGTTTTCGATCGTAAAATTATAACACCTTTAGCACTTTAGAATCTAAACTCATTTAATCATTATGCACAAACTCCTAGATACTCAGTTATTTTTGGATTACCTTTGACAAAGCAGTATAATCAATAAAAAAAGTTCAAATATTGAAAAGTTTAATGAGATTACGTTAAGATCAACTTTAAATAAAAACTTTAAAAAAAATCAACCAGGATGAGGTAATATTTTTCGCAATAAGTCCTTTACTAAATTAAATTAGAAGGGATTATTTAATATATAGGAATGTCCGAATGTTTCGGCGCCTTATCATATTTATATTAGCGTCACAGATCGATTGTGGTTAATGTCCAAACATTTCGGCGCACAGTCATATCTGAGATAATTAAATTTAAAAATTAAGAATATATATTATATTGTATTTATAACATCTAACTTTAACCGATTATTGGCGTTCTCTCTCATATTTATTTATAATAAATGTTATAGCATTTAAAAATACTGCAATAAAAATATCAAAAAATCAATAGTTTACAAGATATTTTAAAAAATGTATAAATTGCATAATCTTTTTTAAAGCAACAATGTGTTTTCTTTACATCATTTGATTTATTTTATTATTTTGTGCATAGAGTATTAACAAAGTGCATAAAGTACAATAACAAAAAACGAAATTTATGCAATATTTTATATCTCATGTCACATAATAAAGTATAAAATATCTCATAAATTATTAATTTTTCGGTATTTTTACTTTATTATATATATATACTTCTACATGTAAAAAAAGTGACATAACCAAAATACCCTCATGAAACCACTTCACTTTTTAAAACATTTTTTTATATCATCGAAAATAACAAAAATATTTCGGGTTCCAATGTTAAGTAATTTATCCTGTATATAACTGAGTCTGTAAATAAAAACATATGAGCTATTTGGACCCTTTTGAGTGTATCATCATGTAATTAAGCCAGAAATTGTGACGAACCGATGTCTGACTCTATAGTCGGGCTTATCACAGCTGCAGATGGAAATTTTAACGAATCTCAGCCGACTGCCAATTATAATGTTTAATCAGACGTACGTAATTACAGACGCATGTATATATGGTGCACTATCACTTACTGAGAGTCGAGACGAAACGAGATTTGCCGACCGAGCAAGTCAAATATTCGCATAGATATGATTGCATAATTTCACTCGGCTTCGAGTGGCATTTTGAAAATTCTTATCTTATGCGAAAACTTTGATCTCAGATCTGCCTTTTCTTTGATCCACTGCCTCTGTGTAAAGCACCGTAATAGTAAATTAACTACAGGTCTTATAGAGCTAAATATCGAAGTTATGCGTTTACTTTAACTTTCGTATGATATCTGGTTATATGCATCATTTACTCATATTCGGATTATACGGATTATATAGATCGTAAGAGGTAATCTATATATATTTGTGCAATATTAAGTTACCT